AAAGGAGCATCGGGATCTCGGGTCCGTACGCGGTGGGCCGGCAACAAATATTCTGGACCCCGCAGGCGTTCTAAGCATTTGGTTGAGAGAATCAAGAATATTGCCTCGATATGCTAGCAGACACTCATCCAGCCCATAAATACAAATGAACGTTCGCCTTTTGGAAGACGCAGACTGTATTTGTTAGTGACAGTCGGTCCCGGCATCCAATAGAATGCCCGGAGAAGGAATTGGGGTGGGTAAAATAAAACTACGGGCGGAGGGGGAGCGGGATACCCCGCCCAGACGGCCTGTGAGTCAATATTTCCTGTGAAGTATATAGGACAAGCGTATCAATGACGGTATATTCACTTCTATTCAAGAGCAACAGAGAGAGTGACAAAAGAATGAGTAGAGATTGATACTATCTAACAGGGAAAGGAACGACTGGGTCTGATAGAGAACTCATAGGAAACGAACAGCGACGTACAGAGTTCCTTATAATATTATAGAGTTGGAGAGAAAACGATGAGAAAGGAATGCAAAAGATAAAGCAATAAAAAGTAAGAAACCCACCGCAATCCTGACTCTTCAAACAAGATAGAAACAGATCAAGTATCACAACTAGTATCTAACACTAGACTGTTCCAGTTCTAACACCACATGTTTGATCACCATTGACCCCCACTTCCACTACCCACTTCTAGCGCGTGTGATAGATTCCCAAACACCGATGATTTCTGGTAATGACACCGAAACACTAGGTCCAGCCATAGTCTGTTTCAACATTTCCCATCACGGTGGGCCGTTCCATCCCCCACTATAGGTTCAGTAGGATGCCGCATAGATTCTGGGTATCTGTTAGGTGTATAGGGGTGCTTATAGTGATACTGAGTATTCGTGCCGAGCACTACCGTGCCGCAAGGGGCAGAGGTTAGGAAAATTGCAGAGCCCATTCATGGAGGCAACCCTAGCAGCTTATTCCGGAACCTTCCCCTACATATGTAAAGGGGGTGGGGGAGCTATCATAGCGCCCTGGATCCCACACTCTGAGATTACAAGGCGTCCGGGTCAGCTGCCTCAGGGCCGATGCATCCAGGGTTTGAGTGCATCGTGAGTTTAAAGGGTTTACACGGTATCGTATATACATTCGGCGGATCGGGGGTGAGAGGTCTTATAGCTAGTTGCCTACAAATGAGCCATGTGGGTTTATCAACTAAGCGCGTAAAGGAAAGTATAGGTTACAGTGGATAGGTGTGGTAGGGCAGGCAGGGCTCATCACACAAGATCAACACAGGAAGAGGGGTCTTTTAATCCCGAAATTAGCCCCCATCCTACCGACGCTACAAGAGCTCGAAGAACTCGCTATCCAGCCAAACCCTCCACGAATGTCCCCATATGCAGACTGCCCGCACCTAAACAGACTCCCTGAACCCATCCTACCCGCACGAGTGACCACTTATGACGATGCGCCGAATGACCCCCTAAAGTCTCACGTTCTTAGCCAACGCAACGAAGCGTGCGGGGAAACACAACCTACAGGAATGCATAGCAAGTGGACCAGCGCCCAAAAAACCCATTCTGGGGGTTTTATCCCGGTTTTGTTTTGCGGTTTCCCCGATACGCCGTTCTGCCACCGCCCGCGCACCCGCTCCCGGGTTACATATATCCTTATATGATACTTGGATCCCGGTTTTTTTTCTTTTTCTTCTCATAATCTGCCGGCGCTCTTACTGAAGATTATCCATCACTTGTTTCAAGAACCCTTGCTTGCTTGAGGTCCGTTCTTAGGTTTTTTTTTCATTAGATTGACTCCGGACATGGAGAGATATCTGTATGTTGGGTACTAGTAGGAGGGGGGTGTGTCCTGACTAATTCTGTGTTACTGGTTCACCCATTAACGATTAGGAATGGGCAACTACAACCTTCAGGGAATGATGCCCGGCAGAAGGTCACGGGGACGACTTATCGGGTCTGTCTATGTCAAGATCGAGCGGACAGCCTTATGAAGCAAATTAAGTTTTGATGGGCGGTATCAAATGGCTCTATATCCGCTTGGGAAATCTGACAGCGCACCTAACAGGAGATCTCCTGGACAGCTTGTAAGGCGCAGAATAAAATTTCAATATAGTCCTAGTCGCAGAGCAGGCTCAAGAGCAGTATTGGTTGGGGTTTTGTGGATTGGCATGCCATTGAAGAAAAGAGGGCTCTGGGGTAGTGCACGATAATGTCGTGATCTGAGATGATACACCAGTGCTTATCTTACCCGCACGGTCCAGGCAATAGACCCCCCCAGGAAAGAGCTAACCCCAGCCCTTGCCCTCACTTACAAGCCTGATCTGTGATACCTCCTCCACTTACAGTGCTATCATGCCTTCATTCTTTTTTTTCACTCTCTCACGGAGTCGTGAAAAACACAGCATTCCGGTTGTCTTGATACCGGTATTCCGCCAACTCTCTCCGCTAAGGGACCTGGCCAAATTTCGTTCCCGGACCACCGAATCATTATGCCACCAGGCCCTTCATATATGGTGCTAGGCGTAGATCACGCACACGGTGCATGATCTTTGCATGCAGAATTCTGCTCTCTCCAATATCTTCTCCGTTCCCGCCTTCTTTTTTGGCTATAAGTGCTTGGCTCAAATGCTCGATATCCCTACGCGTGCCACCACAGGGGAGTAGAGGGTATTCTCAGTTTATGTGGTATGATGAGAT